AGTGGCCCCCGCTTGCTACAACTAGAGAAAGCCCTCACACAGAAACGAAGACTCAACACAGCAAAAATAAATTAATTAATAAAACTCCTACCCCCAACATCTTCTTTAAAAAAAAGAAAAAGTCTTGTAAGGCAGGATAGTTTTTGCCATCTGCCTCCTTGACAGATCATGATCTCCACAATAAAGACCCTCAACTTTCTCTTCAAGATATGTGTTTCTGCCGATCAGTGTTCTTAACACAACACTGAGCATGATGGAGAAGCTCAACAACCTGAAAGTGAATATTTGTTTACAGTGATGTTATATTTTTATGGGGGTTAAATTCAAAAGTCAGGAACAGAATAAAAAATTGGTTATAGTCTAAATTATACTATAAAATATCTTAAATGGTTCACAAGGCATATAACATGGATTGATTACCTAACACTGAGGAATAATGTATATATATATGTGTTAATAATACATCATTAATACACATATATAAAGTCCATATACATAATACAATTTCATGGTTCATATTTACATGAAATATTAACACATATATTAATTTATGTAACATGTACCTTATATTAAATATCATATGATTGTTGAGAAATAGGATATTAATGTGGTCCTAAGTTATCAGCCCTCAGGTTACTCACTAGTTAGGAAAAAATATAACTTTACAATTAAGATATCTGGCCATTACCACCTTAACCAAATGATCAAATTTAGCATCACCAATAGTGACATGACCTGACTTCATGTTTCTCCTGATGTGATACAAGAGGACACAACACTGTCTACGTAGTATCCTTACCAAATATGTTTAACCTGGATTTTACCATGAGGAAATAACCAGATAAACCTAGAATGTAAGACATTCTGTAGAATAACTAAGCTAGAATCTTTTTTTCTTTTTTAGTTTTTTGGTGACGCCGTGCAGCATGTGGGATCTTAGTTCCCCAACCAGGGATCGAACCCGCGCCCCTTGCATTGGAAGTGCAGAGTCTTAACAACTGGACCTCCAGGGAAGTCCCTTTTTAAAAAAAAAAAAAATCAATGTTTAAAGAAAACAAAAAGGTGGAGGGACTGTTCTAGATTAAAAGAGACTAAAGAGACATAACCTCAAATATAATGCATAAACTTTGTGTCCTGATTAAAGAAAAACCTGTACAAGACATTTGGGGAACATTTGGGGGAAATTGCAAGTGAATTGTGGAATTATTAATTTCCTTGGCTCTGATCATGGTGTTGTGGTTAGAGATACATGGGATGTGCTACTGTGTTTACTGATGTGAGTGTGAGTGGTTTTTGTGGTATGTTTTTTGTGGTACCAAAACAATTGAGTGTTTTTTGCGGTATGTGGTGATATATGTGTGAGACACTGTGTTTAGTGGTGTGTGGTAAGAAAATGTCCTTGTTTTTAAGATACGTGCTGACATATTTAGTAGTGAAGTATCATGATACTTGAATTTATTTTCAAATGGGAAATAAAGTTTATCAAAAGTGGCAAGTTGTTAACAACTGATGAATCCAGGGGATAGGCATGTATAAGAGTACTTTGTACTATTCTTTGAGTGCTTCTGGAGATTTGAAAATTTTCAAAATAAAAAATTGAAGAAAATGTGACTTTTGAGTGATTCCGCTCTACCGTATGAGAGAAATAAATGTGGGAGGGCACTGAGATGCTTAAGGATGTACCCAAAGACCCCACTGGAACAGGAGAACTAGGGAACCAGTTCCCCAATTTGTTTCCATAAAAGAAGTTTCTGGAGAAGGATTGCAGAATATCCTGGTTGGGCCAAGGGGTGGGGGGGAGGTGAAGTATCTCAGGAAGTAAGGCAGAAGGACTTGGCTTTCTGATGAATTGATAGGTCATTCCATTCCTCCTCCTGCTCTGAAGGAAGATTTACTCATCGAGACAGAGGTTAGAAGACTGAAATTGATCTTATGGGCTAAAATCAAGGTGTTGGCAGAGCAACATTCCTCCTAAAAGCTCTAGGGGAGCTTTTAAAATTTATTTTATTTTATTTTATTTTATTTTTTGGCTGCAGAGCTTGCGGGATCTTAGTTCCCCAACCAGAATCAAACCCGCGGGCCCCTACAGTGGAAGCGCAGAGTCTTAACCACTGGACCGCAAGAAAAGTCCAAAGGGGAGCATATTTTCTCTTGCCTTTTCCAGCTTCTAGAATCACCTGTACTCCTGGTTCATGGCTCCTTACTCCCTCTTCAGAGCACATCATTCTAACCTCCCCTTCTTTCCTCACTTCTCCTTTCTGACTCTGACCCTCCTGCCTTCCTCTTATAAAGAACCGTATGATTACTTTGGGGCTACTCAGATGATCCAGGATAATCTTCTTATTTCAAAAGATCCTTAATTTTTTTTTTTTTTTTTTTGCGGTATGCGGGCCTCTCACTGCTGTGGCCTCTCCCGTTGCGGAGCACAGGCTCCGGATGCGCAGGCTCAGCAGCCGTGGCTCACGGGCCCAGCCGTTACGTGGCATGTGGGATCCTCCCGGACCGGGGGATGAACCGTGTCCCCTGCATCGGCAGGTGGACTCTCAACCACTGCGCCACCAGGGAAGCCCCAAAAGATCCTTAATTTAAGCATATCTGCAAAGTCCCTTTTGCTATGTAATATAACATAGTCATTCACAGGTTCTGAAGCTTAGGACTTAGACATATTATGGGAGAAGGGGCATTATTCTGTCTACCACATTATCTTATTGGCATCATTTGATATATATATATGTATATATATATACATATATATATATATATACTTTTTTCTCCTTTAATTTGTTCATGCAATACGTTTTGTCATTTTGTTGTTCTTTCAACATTAGCAAATTTTTGGACAAAATTAATTGTACAAATTTTATACTACATTATTGAAATCAGCCTTTTATTTGGAATTTTTGCATCTATAATCACAAATGTTAAAGTAATTAAAGAAGGAGGCTATTAGACTGAGGTGACTCTAATGCCTTGGTAGCTTATGTAAGCAAACCAAAACCTAACCCAGAGCCAGTGCACTCGAATCAGAGAAAATAAACCTTAGGGACAACCAATCACAAACAGCCAACTCAGCTTTCCCAAATAAAATGACTGCTTAAGGTATAGCCAATCAAATAACTTCCTTGCTTTGCTTTGGGGTCTTCTCTATAAAAACCTCTCCACTAGCTCCTATTTGTTGAGTGCTCCTAACCACTTTTGACTTGATGCTGCCTGATTCAAATTGATGTATGCACAAGTAAACTTTAAAAATTCTGTGTCTCAGTTTATCTTTTAACACAAATGAAACTGATTAATAACTTTTCTTTTGGCCTGTCGTTATCAGGTTTTATGCTAGTTAAACAAAGTTAATTAGAGAGTATTCCTTCTTTTCCTAGGATCTGAATAAACTGAACAATCGTTATTAGTTCAAAAATTAGCTAAAACTCAATTATAACCATCTGGTATCTTTCTAATAGTACATATTTTAAGATATATTTAAATTTCATTATAGCTAATGTTCTGTTCAGGTTTTCTACTTCTTAGTAGAAATTAGTAATTTAAATTTTACTAGAAAATCTACAGTTACCTCTACTGTGGTTATAAAGTTGCACATAGCCTCAAAATTATTTTAAACATTATGTCTATGGTTTAACCTTCCACACTTCTAATGTTTTTGTTTTGATTTAATTTTTTTGTTTTGTTATTGTTTATCGATATTGTGTTTCATTTATCTTTTAGAACCAAATTGTGAATTTTAAAAGTCCAGCCCACTTTTTTGTTTTCTAGTTCATCATTTTCAGAATCTATACTGATAGAAGAAATTTTCATATATTGAGGTATGGGGAAATCATTCTGGTTTATACATAATTTGGCCTGAAATTTATGTTCCTGGAACAGCCTTGTGTCCTGTTTATCATACATTACACACCTGCTTTAACCATTAAAGAAAAAAATGCATGATCCCAAAGTAAAGAATGTCCACTTTGAAGATAAGGATAAATGCCTCCCTTCCTATAAGCCCATACCAGTTCTCCTTTAAAGATAAGGTTCCTTTCCCAGACGCCAAGCCTATACTGACTCACTGTGTACGTGCTAATCTGTCTCTTGAAAGCTTGAAGGAATGTACCCATGTCATGTTTGATGCATGTTCTTTGTTCTGACAAGATATAAAACTATGCTGAAAGCCATGCTTCTCTGGAGCAGTTTCTCAGAACTACTGAGAGGCTATATCCCCTACTATAGTCCTCAGCACAGCTGGAATAAAACTCTCTTCTATTCCTTATTGTAGATGGTTTATTGATTATTTGCATCCACAATAGTTATTCATTTTATATTTGACAAAATTTAATAAGTAATGTTTTATAAGAAGGACATGAAAATGGCCAAAATATACGGTGATACTCTTTTTGTGTGTGTGTGTGTGTGTGTGTGTGTGGTACGTGGGCCTCTCACTGCTGCTGCTTCTCCCGTTGTGGAGCACAGGCTCCGGACGCGCAGGCCCAGCAGCCATGGCTCACGGGCCCAGCCGCTCCGCGGCACGTGAGATCCTCCCGGACCGGGAACCCGTGTCCCCTGCATCCGCAGGCGGACTCTCAACCACTGCGCCACCAGGGAAGCCCAAGATGATACTCTTAAAGTAAAAAGAAAAAAACTCACACATCCTAGAAATTAACTACTGTTAACAAATGTTAGTGTGACTTTCCAGCGATCTTATTACCTGTGTCTTTTAATCTATATTTATGTACTTATAAAATGTTTGAAAACAGTATTACATAGTATACAGAGTTTAGTATTGGTATTCCATTCCGGACTCAGGGTTGTCCTTCCTGAACCTCCCCGGGCCCTTCTCAGACTCCCCCACCCTGAACTCTACTGCTCCCCTTCAGACTCTCCCCGCCACGTCCCCAACACGCTAGGCTGGTACTACATTTCCCAGACGCCTTCAGGGTGGGCCCAGCCCCTACCGGGCGTCCCTGGGGCCCCGCCCAAATCGTGCTGAAAAGCCGGGATTGCAGGCTGCAGCGTTCCAGCGTTCCAGAGTGAGGACTGCACTTCCCGGCGGCGCCCGGGACCTGGGAATGAATTCTCAGCGGAAACTTGAGCACCCCCTTTCCCCGCCTGTGGGCTACATTTCCCAGAAGCCTCCACGGGCCACAGCCCTTTCTTACCCGTCCGCAGCCACCTATTGCTACCTCGACCTGTGAATTCGCCCAGGTTCTTGGAGGATGTTCGCATGCGGCTGGGCGGTCAGGACTGGGCTTCATTGAAGCTTGGAACACGACGCGACTTGGGGCGGAGAAGACTGTTGTGCCGGTTCAGGCTCTATTTGGATTTTTTCCCTCTCTGGACTACATTTCCCCGAGGGCTCCGCGGTGTATGCGGATTCCGGCCGAAGTTCGCTGGCCGGTGTGAGTTGCCGGGAGTTCGGACGCAAAGGATCGGGGCATTCCAGGTTGCCTCGCTCACTGGTTTGGGGCGGATTCAATCAGACTGGAGTGAGAGGACCTCGGAGAAGTGGACGGTGAGGAGGCTCGGGGCAGGGCTGGGGTCCTTTGGGAGTTTAAAATATGGGTGGCTGTCGGGCATGTCCAAGATGCGTGCACGCGCTTGAAAAATAAAGGACGACGGGGAGGGTGGTGCTCTCCAGGCCGCTTGTCCACACTCGGGGGTGGGAGGTATGGGCCGCGCGCCATCACGGGAGGGTGTGGCTTAAGGCTGGCGCGGGGGCGGGCTGGGGATGTCTGGAGGTTAGGGGTGCCGTAGTTGTGTGGCCTCCTGCCTGGGGAAAGTCCGTGAGATACTCCCTGGTGTTGATTTGTGCGCCAGACGTCCGGTGCTCGGCAACCAGTGCCTCGCGGTGCTGTGGTGGGTACTCTACCAAAGCGGGACTCCCTGTGGCTCGGTGTGCGCGCGCCCAATGTGGCCACGTCGCAGACTCTGCCCTTTGGAGCTGGGAATGGCGCCTTCTTTGTGCATTTTTGGTGGGCGCTGAGTGGGTTGCGCGGGTGGGTGTGTTCCGGGCGTCTACCTCAGGCCGGGACTGCGCTCCCATTGCACTCTCCAGCCCAAGAACCGGCACAGCTGCAGCCGCTCGCTCTCCAGCGCAGTGAATGGCGCTTCCGGGGCTGTTTATGGTGGTGTCGGGGGGTTTCTAGAGCTTTGGACTGGGACGCCCTTCTACTTCCACTTCTCTGTTCTTTCACCGTGTGGCCACCAAGGCCCAGGCAGGTGCCCCCAGCCTAAAGGACAGGAATGTGGGATTCTTTAACAGGTGAATCCAATTAGGATGTTTCTTGGAGCCACAGATCTGGGCTCAGTGTAAGATACTGGAGTCTGAAAATACCCAAAGTCAGGTTCTTATGGAGGAAAGAGGCCACAGTCCGGGAGTCTTTCCCAAGACTCCCATCTGGGCCCCTAAGGTCACCTGCTCTTCTTTTTGAAGATGAGAGAGGGTGGTGGGGTTGCAGGCTTCTTTGGTTTTGGGCTCCCTTTCAGTGCCTGGGGTGGGGTAGGGATTTGTTCTGACTCGGCCTCCTCTGGGCTCCAGGAAGGAACTGCTGTCTCTTAGTTTCTTAACCATTTTCTACCTTTTTCCTTCTCTAAGAATCCAGAAGAGGAGGAGAAAAGAGCTGCTGGGCATCAAAAGTCATGGCGGAGGTAAGTTGTATTTGCAATTTTCTTCTTGGAAGGGCTTCTCTGTTTTCAGGACACTATTCTATTTCAGGATTCTAGCCAAGAGATTTACAGTAGTGATTTGGAGAAAGGGGAAGAGATGGTTTCCTCCTAAACTAGCCAGGAACCTAAACCTGGGCTGTCTGCCTTGCATACATTGTCTTATCTGATCTGGATTTTCCATTTCCCTGGATTTTGTTCAGTGCTATAACAGTCTTGACAGGATGTGCCTCCGTGATTTGGCAGGGAAGTTGAAGAACAGAATAAGTTTAGTTAAGTCTCACTAATTTCTTTGTTGTCCCCTCCAGAGTCACATGCAGTAGCCTATTTTCTTCCAGATTTCTAACAGCCTGGAATGCCTGCCTGCCCCCTTCAGATTTAGATATCCCCCCCCTCCAAATAGAAATAACCTAATTGCTCTCTTTCTAACGATTAAAGTTATATAGGATTTTTGCAAAAATTTCAAAATTTGAGTAAGTTATTAAAGTTTATGGCCCATGGTCCCACCACCTAGAGGCTAATCACTATTAATGTTTTTAAATTATTTTGTTTGCACGTATGTGTGGGTATGTAATTTTGTTTACAGAATGGGATCATATTACTAATAGAAGCAACTAACTTATTGGGTGTTTACTTTGAGCCACTTTTAGTTTGAAGTTCTTGATATGTGTTATCTTGTTGAATCCACATAACAACCCAATGAATCAGTTATGACTGTTTTTCATTAATTCAGTGATGCATTTTTCCCCCACATTTTAACTTCTCTGAAATCAGGATGGGTTTTTCAATTCCCTTTAAGTTATAGTTTCATTGATTGCATTTTTTTTCTTTCGTGGTATATAAAGTATTGGTGGCTTTACAGTCAGTGGCATCTCAGATTTTATGAAATATATTATTATTCTAAGTTGACAGATGAGAAAATAGATTCTGTTAAGTCACTTGGTCCAAAATTACAGTTAATAAATGGTACAGTTGGGATTTCTAAATTGCCTACTGATTTCTTTTGCCCATTTGTCAGTTTATACGTTAAGCATATTTTCTCTTTGTCATTTACAGGTGGTTTTAGAAATATTTTTTCATGGTTAATGTATCTTTTGTGTGTTTTTAAGATTCAGAGTTTTCAAAAAATGTTCTCTTTATGTCATGCCAGAAGGTCTTCTCTGCAAAAATAGAAAGTCACTCATTTTTCTAAAGTACTTTTGTCTAAACAATTTAATCCTTAAGGTATCTGGTTTGAGATATAACTAGAGAATGTTGGCTGTAAAATTCCTAGTTGATTTTAAAGAATGGCATGGTAATTGTAGTATGTGAGATTTGGAGTTTTTTTTCCTGGATGTGTCTGAGTGTAGGTCTTCCTTTATTAATTCTGTCCACTTGCTTTTCAAGGATTCTTTTCACCCTAAAGACTAAAGAAATATTCTTTCTTTTCTGGATGAATCTGTTTCTTCCTTTCTCTTTGACTTTTCTGAATCCTGTGAGAACTTACTGAGTTTGTCTTCCAATTTCCATTCTGGCCGAACCCTTCCTAAGATTCTCAGAAGAGGACCACATTCTCCCCATCAATTCTCAGCATATTTGGGTGAGGAAGAAAGTCTAGCTCCCCTTTGCCCTTCAACCTTCGACTGTCCATTTCTCCCTCTGTTTCCTCCTCTCCTCAGAGTGATCATTGTCCTTTCACTGTATTAATAAGAGGCTCTGCACTGCATAAAAGCGTAGAGTCTTACCCAATATCCACCATTTATTAGCTCTCAGACCATGGCTTCCTCATAACTTCTTCTGTATAATGTAGTCTACAGGGTTTGGGGAATATGGTGGTAATGGAAATTTACCTGAATGTGCACTTACACCAGCAACAGGGAGGTCCCCAGCTCCTACTTCCTGATCTCCCCAACATTCAGTGTGGCGGCAGATCCCTTTGCATCTGTCCCTTTCCTGCTCCTTTTTGGTCTCGTGCCCTGTGACCTCACTCCACTGTCTGTGTGCCAGATGAGACTTTTGTGGGAGTGGGTGATACGTTGATTTAATCGTACTCCCTGGCTCTAGGTTATTCCTCCAAAATAAAATAGTCCAGTTATGTCACTTCCTTTATTCAGTGAATCCCTGTTACTTTCAGGATAAAGCTCTAGCTCTTTCACATTCATTGTTTATTTACTAAAAAGCACATTCTATATTTACTAGAGCACCAATCCTAGTATTGGAGTAAAGTGGTGAGTAAAGATGGTATGTTGAGTCCTGGCAGAGGTGACCGTCACCCAAGACCTTTTTGTTCTGATCCCTTTGGACTTCTTCAGCACCGCTTCTATCTACTCCTTGCCCAGAATCCCTCACCAGTTACCCCAGTGAACTGTCTGCTCCTCAGACACACAGGATTCAATTAGTCTCCCTCTCTACCTCCAACTTACCACGTTCACTCTGCTTGGAATGCTGCTTGGTCTGTTTTTGTTTGCTGGAGTTCTGTTCCTTTTCAGGGCCCCAGTTAATCTTCTACATGTTACAGGAAATTCTCCACATACCCCTCAATCTAAGTAAGTCACTGTACCTCGTTTCCCATAGGAAGTTTCTTCTGCTTGTAATTGGAGCTCATGTATCCTGCTTAAAATCCCTGACCTGTGAGGGAATTCCCTGGTGGTCCAGTGGTTAGGACTCCACACTTTCACTGCCCAGGGCGCGGGTTCAATCCCAGCTCGGGGAACTAAGATCCCGCAAGCCACGTGGCACGGCAAAAAAAAAAAAAATCTCTGGCCTGTGAGAACCTCTAAAGGTCTCGTGAGCTGATACTTGTTTTCAGTCTCATTGCTCTGCTCCCTCTCTGACTTGACTTTAGCCTTTGTCAGAATGCCCAGTGCTATCTCTGGCCTCCATGGCACAAGAAGAACAAGAGGGGCGCTTATCCCTCACCACCACTTTCTCAGGGTTCTGTGAAGCCTACTTCACTTACCTGATTATGCTTGCTGCCTCTGAGTGACTGCATTCCCCTGTGTTGCATCTGTTCTTAACACACTGTATTGCAACTCTCGTTTAAAAACTGCTTTTATTAAATATTGAATAGTAAAAAATGTTTATGGTGTGGTGAATGAGTGAACACCCATATTTAAGAAGTAAAGCATTAAGCATTGTTAAAAACCCCATGTGAACTGTGAATCATCCCAATCCAGTTCCCTTTTCTGCCCTTCAGAGGTAACTCTTATTCTTAATTTTATGTTTTTCTTTCCCTTGCTTTTCTTTACAGTTTTAATCATATATGTTTATTGTCATTTTAAAATTTGATATAAATAAAATCAAACAGTTTGGAATCTTCTGCAACTTCATTACTTGTCTCTCAACGTATATTCATGAGATTCATTCACATTGTGAATTTATCCTACTGTATAGCCATCCACTGTATAAATATATATTATTTTCTTTCATATTACAGTCATTATTCCTGTGAACATCCTTGAATTTGTCTCTTGGTATCATGCACAAGAATTTCTCTAGTTATATAACTGGAAATGGAATTGTTGGGTCATAGGGTATGTGCATCTTTAATCTCACTAGACATTGCCCAGTTGTTCTAGTGTTTATACCCAGTAATAAGTCCTGTTACTTCATATCCTCACCAAATACTTGGTACTGTCAGACTTCAATTTTTACCCATTTGGTAGGCGTGAATTGCTATGTTATTCTGAATTTAAATGTGCGTATCTTGGTTTAAAATGAGGTTGAGCCCCCTTTCATGCTTTCTCTTCTCTGAAGTACCATTTCATCTCATTTTCTAATTTTTCTATTGAGTTTTATATTTCCAGTTTTTCGTTCCATTTAATACTTTGTAAGCATTCCTTAAATACTGTGGATTGTCAGTCATATGTGCTGTACATGCTTTCTCTCATTTTTTGTCTTGACTTCTAACCTTTAGATAGTAGAAATTCTCAATTTTAATGCCATCAAATTTAACACTGTTTTCCTTTACTAATTTATGTATGTCTTGTTTAAGAAATCTCTTTTCTCCTAAGAGTAAAGATATTTTCCCATAATGTTTTCTATAAATGGTTTTGTTTTGCCTTTTGTGTTTAAGCTTTTAATTCACTTGGGGTTGATTTTTACCATGGTGTATGGCAAGGGTCCAATTTTACTTCTTCCATTTGGATAACTAACATCCCAGCATCATTTATGGAAAAGGCCATTGCAAAGGTTTAGGCAAACTGCACAGCCTAAGGGAATAAACCCTGTAAGACTGCCTGCTCTCACTTCAGACACCAGCTGCAAGTTTGAAGGCCCCAGGGCCACCCTCACTTCAGACCAGCTGGCTATAAATTTAGAAATTCTCACAACCACCCTCAGGTTCAACAGTTTATTAGAAAGACCCACAGAACTCACTGAAATCTATTAATTCATGGTCACATTTATTACAGGGAAAGGATACATTAAAATTAGCCAAGGGATCACTATATTGTACACCTGTAACATATAATATTGTACATCAACTATACTTCGATTAAAAAAAAACTTGCAGTCTTACTGGACAGATAGAACAACAACAGCAACAAAATTAGCCAAGGGAAAAGATGCGTAGGATAGACTCTGGGAGGGTTCCAAACTTGAAGTTTACCTTCCCAATATTGATATGTGACAACATGCAGGGAAGCTCACCTGAGCTCAGTGCCTAGAGTTTTTATTGAGGCTTCATTGCATAGGCAAGATTGAATCATTTTCACGTGGTCAAATGCAATCTCCAGCATCTCCCTTCCCTACTTGCCTGGAAGTCAAGCTGCTATCACATAACCCAAAGCCCCAAGGTTCTGATTACATGGTTGGTCTTTCTGGCATGGCCAGCCCCTACCCTGCATTGTTTCGTTAGCATAAACATATGTGGTCTTGGGGGCCCACCATAAATAATAAAGACACTCCTGTCACTTGGGGAATTCCAAGTGTTTAGAGGTTGTCCTATTAGCTAGACAAAGGCAAGAATGTCTCTTTGGAGGCCAAATTTTTTACTCCACAATCAT